CTTTTTGGGGGGTGGGTGGCGGGAGGGGAGGGATTGGGGTCAAAATGGGGGGTTGCAATTGTATGGGGAATATAAAAATGAAATTTATTATTAAAAGAAAAAGAGGTAAGAGTGATTTGTCAGGATAAAAGGAGATAAATCAGAAGTTATGCCTAACAGATTAGTTGATGATAATGTCCCATAAATTACAGATAATATTTAACTTAAATCTCTGTCTCTGAGGTCCAAACAAAATAAAAATCTATCAATATTTATTAAATGTGTGTGTATTCAATGTAATTTAAAGGTATTAGGATATATAATGAGAATTAAAGTTATCATGTTTCCCAGTTTTAGGATTAGTCAAGAATTAGAGATTTAGGATTATGTATGGGTGCCTTGGTGGTAGATATGGTATAGTAGAGGTGTAATCCTGCACCTCTGGGTCATATTCAGTATTGGAAACTAATGTTAGCACAATTAAAAAAGTAAATAAATAAAATAAGAAGTACAGAAATATATTTAAGCAAAAAGCAATGAAGTAGTGGCAATGAAAACCCATGAATATCTCTAGCAACAAGCCTTTATGATGCTTTAAGTCCAGACAAGAGGGAACCTAAGTTTATCTGGAGAGTCAAGGAAAGTTTTGGTGAGCTGAGGTCTGAAAATGGTGATGTTTCCAAGGTGACATGGCCTGGGAGGAAATTTAGATTACAAAGTAGGAGGAAGAAAACTGAATTCCAAAACCCAAAATTAGGGAATTTTGTCAGGAATCCAGAGAATCCTGTAGAGTCAATAGGTTGTGAAGACAGTGTCAATTCTTTTTGTTTTACCCTTAGAAAACTAGGGAGGTTTTAAGGTTAAGAGGATAAGTGTACTAGCTTCCAACTCTGGTTTATGTTCACCTCTGTATTTGTTTGTATTTATTTATACATATAAAAGCTGTGGTGTAGGCAAGAGGTGTGAGGGGCTAAGAGGATTCACCAGAGTCATAGTGGGAAGCACACAGGCAGACTGACTGAAATATGTTGCTGAGGGGAGCAGCAAGTTCACCCCTATATTTGAGCTCCTTTGGTTTTGTGGTTTTTGGTAAGGGAAGTTGCATGTATGACTTTTAACAATTTATAAAGAAATTTTACAAAGAATGTGTTGTTATTTGATTCATCAGGTAATTGAATTATGTTTACCTTTGAAAAAAATTTCTCAAAAGACAATGATAAATAATTTTGAAGTAAATATTTCTTAAAAACTATGTTAATAACATATCTGTAGAAACTGAACAACTGAAATATGTGAACATATGGTATTCAGTGACAGCCAGTATAAGGAATTTGCTTTATATATTCACTATGTTGTCAAAATAATCATTCCAGGTATTAAAAAGTAGGGAGGGATAAAGGAGGAAAGAAAAGCACATGATCTCAGTAATTATATAAACTGATGTGTAGTTTTTTGTAGTCTCTTTTAACAATATTTTAGCATCCAGTTAGGTCCACTGATAAATGAGTAAATCATTATGACTGCAACGAACAATATAAACCATTTTACAGTAATCCCTGATGCTCAATCATACTTGAGAAATTTTGTGAATTACCCTGTTACAAAATAAATCAGATTAGTTGCTTTTTAAGATATTAAAAGAAAGAATTTTGGACACCAGATAAAGGAGAAAAATCTTTGTGTACTTGAAAACAAATTACTTAATGTTTGTGTATAATGATAATAATGGGCTTAGTATTCCTTCATATAATGTAATTGTCATTACTGAGAAAATTATGTGGGTCTGAGTAAGTAATTTCTTGATAATTATGTATTTAAGAAAAATGACTAAATCAAGATATCCCCTGATATTAAGGAATTAATTATTTTGGCCCATTATAGTCTCATTTTAATTCCTTATGTTTGTAAATTTAGGCCATCTTTCAAACAGATCTACAATTACTTTCTGTAGTAATTAATTATATTCTCACCATTATTAAGTCAAAACATATTGTGTATAGTACTATAAAAAAGGAAATCAAAAGTTAAAAAATATACTGAGTAATAAAGAAAATAATTTAAATCTTCAGGTTATATTTCCTTAATATAAATTTACATTTATTCTGTGATGTTAATTATGCATATTATTATTATTATACAGAAGACTTGCTTTTTGATTCAAAAAAAATCTAATGTAAGCACCATCATGGTATTTTATCTGTCATGTTTCCATAATCTAGACCATTTGCCTAGTTCAGAGTATCACTATATCACAATATTGCTATATATATACTGAATAAATTACTATTCCAGGAGTATTATCTCAGACTAATATTTATTGAGTTTTACACATGTAAAATTTAATAGATAAAAGTGTATCATGAATGTCACATTTTGGAAACTGCATAATTTTAAAGTAAGTCACATACTACCTCTAGTCATATTTGAATAGAATACTAATACTTGCATAAGCTAATTAATGAATTCATCTATTAATATATGCCATCAATCATGTCCTTCTTGTGGACAATTGGGGTTGTCAAACATCCTCAGTGTCCCTTAAAACTATTGACTAATGTCTTAAGTGTTAGTATTTGAATTATTGCTAATGAACACCAAGAAAGAGAGGATATAAGGTGAATTCTGTCTTCCCTACCTGCCTGAAAAGGAAAATGACTGTACAGCAGTTAAGGTTTATAGAAATTAATCTTATTTACATATAAGAATAACAAAACCATTTCATTGTATTGGTACTTGAGCTTAATAGATAATTAAAACAAATGTTAATTTTTTCTCCACCTCCTTATTTTCACAGTGATCACAAATACTCTTAACATTTCCTCTCCAGAGCTTATCTCCTTGTCCTTATAAATGTGAGAATATCAATGCTTAGACTCATGGAGTAATTAGATTATCATCTATGATACTGTAAATTTGAAAACAAAGTTTTCTAAAACACCAAAACTATTACTCAGAATTCATAATACTGTTCGGCAGTAGTTTAAACAACTGCATAAATCCATTTTACCACATTGTGCAGCATAGATGGTGTAAGAAAGCATCATCTCTATCCTGCTAATATAGAATTATATGTTGATTCATTTATTAGAAAAATCCAGGGAATTATGTCATTTTTCTCAAAAGTTGTTTTAATAGCAGAATATATTAAATATCATACAGGAAGTAGCATGGAATATAAGGATAGAGACTTAGAAGTAAGGAAGAGAGAGTACTTTACATTCAGTCAGTACAGAAAAAAATTAAAAATAAAAAAAGGAAAAACTTCTGTGATGACAGATGGTTTCATTTCTCCAGTGCTGTATTCGAATTCTTTTTGAAAGAATATTTTCTTCCAGTATCTACTTTTTCAGAGATTTATTTTCATAGGTACTAATATCTATTTTGTGAGGTTTCTTTCCCAAACATATATCACTGCAATAATATTTACTTCCTTTCTGCTTTCAAAAAGTTCACATGTGGCAATTGCAAATAGGAACACAGGTTATATAAATTTACAACTTTAGTAGTATTACACACATAGACTTTCCCGTTTTATTCATGTAAATAACGCCCTCTAAATTTGTGCATCCTGGAAGCTCAGGATACATATATGCATAATCACTTATGATATTATATTTTAAGCATTTACTTGACAAAATATTCATCTTTTAATAATAACAACAAATAAATATTGTTTGTTCTCATGGAACTCACTGCTGTTATATGGAGATGGATTGCAAACTTGTAAATTCTCTGTAAATATATAGTTTAAATACAGATATAGGTCCATATTATAAAGAAGAGAAAATCAGAATTGACTTGACTTTGCATATGGGTGCATTTATGCAGAAGAAATGTCATTTGAGACCTGAATGTTAGAAGGAACTAGTCACACAAAAGGGTAGCAGGAAGAGTGTATGAACAACTGGAAAAGTGCTAAGATAGGTGGGAACTTGGTGTTTTGCAAAGCCAGATAGCTGAATTATTTCTAATGAACACCAAGAAAGAGAGGATATAAGGTGAATTCTGTCTTCCCTACCTGCCTGTGAGTTTGTTCATTTCTGTACTGTTAGAACTCAGCAGTGTCCAATGAGCAACTGTGAATTCATGAATCACGTATATAATATTACCTAGAGTTAATCCTAGTACTATAAAGTATATCAGCATGATAACAATTGTTAGGGAATAAATAATTTACAAAATTTGCTATTTCAAATATGTCATACAATCTTTAAATTTCTCTCTTATAGCGTGACTAACAAGAAATATATGCTATTTAATTCTGTAATATTTGCTTTTTACCATAAACTGAGTAAAATATGTCTTCTCTAATGGCAAACTTAGACTTTGGGATTTGTTCTAAGTTGTAGTTCATTTCAATTGTCATAACTAATGCCAAGTCAAAGTTTTCAGCACCCCTGGAAGGATTAACTTCCAGTAATAGGATGGTTCTATTTTCAGTATTTTGTTTAGGGAAATATAGGTGAATGTATCACTTTTTTAAAAATTTAGGAATTATATCAAAGTATGTCTTGGTGAATGAAACTTGGAATTAAGAACTGTTGTACCAGCATTTCATAATTCCTTAAAAACATCGGAAATAACATAATGTTCAAAAAGAATCAGCAGGCATAGTGTTTAGAGAGGAAGGTGAGGTCATGTAATTAAAGAAAGTGGAAGAGAAGATGCCCAAAGCAACCTTTCACATAAATAATTTTAAATAACATGATGTAAAAACATATCATTGATTCATGTCAAGTAACCCAATGAAATAAAGATTGTAACATTTCAAACTTGAAGGTAAGTCATGTTACATGAAAAATCTAGAGATCTGCTGTACAACAATATGCATCTAGTTAACAGTACTATATCAAACTGAATATTTTGTTAAGATAATTTTTATATTTTAGCACAGTAAAATGAAATAGTATTGTTTATCTCTCCTAAAAATTGATTTTTCAGTTGTATTTTACAAATCATGTAATGTTATCACTCCCTCTGTTTTCATCTTGTAACAGTAATGATAAATCATTTCATTTTAGGGTTTACCTGCAAGTCGTGTGAGATATAGAGTAGATGACATGCAGTTTCCTTATCCTGCGAGTATTTTTGATGTAGAAGAAGATTCTGGAAGAGTAATAACGCGAGTCAATCTTAATGAAGAACCTACAACAATTTTTAAGGTCAGTGTAGTGCTCTGTTTTATACTTTCCATTTGATGTTTAACTTTTTATTGCTTAGTTTAACAGATAAAGAGACTTCTTTGAATTTTTCTCCATTTTTATTTTTAATTTTTATTATTTATTTATGCATAAAAGAACTGGGGTGGAGGCCACAGATGCAGGAAATGAGAAAATTCACCAAAGACAGATTGGGGAGCAGAACAGGCAGATCCACTGAAATACACTGCTAAGGGGAGCAGTGGGCAAGACAGAAGAGGTCTGCTGCATCACACGTGGATTAGCTCCCTGGCCTGGGCTGAACTCACTGAGACCCAACCCCTAGGCCATGGGGGAGGCCCATTTTAATTTTTTAACATTGTAGAGTAATATATTTTAGTGCATAGGTATTTATGAAATATAGTTAAGAGAAGAGAAAAGAGAAAAAAATCACTGAAAATCTAACATCTCGAGGTAAGTAGAATTTACAGTTTTTATCTCCATGCAAATACAAGTATACAAATATATTTTAAAATAGTATGATCATATTATTAATACTGTTTTTTTAACAATTAAATATACCTGACACTAAATATTATCCATGCTATCATTTTAATGGTTCTCTGATATTCCATTGTAGAATATACTGGGGGTATTTTTTTTAACAAAGTAAACGTTACATAATTAGGCTGTTTCCAATTTTTTGTTATAATTATCTTTGTTGTTCTGAAATCCCTTGTGCAAATTCCATCTGCCATTTTCTTTTTTTCTTAAGATAATACGGGGGTGGAATTGTTTGATCAAGTATACATTCAAGATATTTTGTTTCCAGAAAATTTGGAAAGTATAAACTTCTATTATAAATTATCATAAATGAACTATTTAACATTTGAGTATAACCATTTTGTATGGCCCTAACTTGGGATAATAACCAACATCAATTAACATGTGAATGTCAATGAGTAGCATGTCTCACATACTTTTGTGTATGCAAATAATTGTTTTCCTGTCTCAGGGTGACTTTTGGCTATAGTTCCATGATATAGATTGAATTAGTTTAGATTACTAATCGACAACTTCCAGATTACATGCATTGAAAAGAAACAATTAGTTTCAAGATATTTAACATTTCTTAAGATAAACATTAAAATTATACTTAATACAGATTATCAAAAAATGAATGATTACAAAAGCTATTTTAAAAAAATTAAGATATTGCCTTTTAAGACAAGAGATTTTCTTTAGTTTAAAATTCTGCTATACAGTATGAACGTGGTTTATATACTTAATTGTTTTTCAGAGAGTATATATCAAAGTGTGTTAAACTATAATGATTTCCAATTCTACCCTCTAGAGTGAAGTATCTCGGCCCTATGATATTGCAGACAATTAATTCACTGGAAAAATTAATTTCTTTTTAAAAGCAAGCTAATGAGCTTTTTGCTATTGATGTGACTGAATTTAGCACTTTTTAAATAAGTGTTGGTGCTTGAAAAAGATCATTTTTTTAGTCTAGGCAACAGTGAAATTGTAGAAAAGAATTTATATTTGGAGATATGCAGTATCATATATCTGTTTTACTGGTAGTTTTGTTTGTGTCAAAGAGTTAGTAATTCAACTTCTTTGAGTGTTCTCATCTGGCAAATGAAAATAATAATATCTACCTAGAAGGATATTTGTGAAGATGATATGAGAATTTGTGTAACATATCCTAACACAGTGTCTGCTATCTCTTAGGTGCAGAGGACATGATCATTTCTCCCTGTCCTAGAACCCAGCCAGCCAATGATTAAAAATGAGGCTTTTAATTTATTCTTGTTATAATTTTTAACATTAATTATTATTGCATTTTAAGTTGGTGGTTGTTGCATTTGATGATGGTGAGCCTATGATGTCCAGCAGTGCCACTGTGAAAATTCTTGTCTTACATCCTGGAGAAATCCCACGCTTCACACAAGAGGAATATAGGTATTGACTTCTATCAGTTTTTCCCCCCTTAAGTTTTGTTGATTTGTCACAAGTTCATGTGACTATATAATTTTGGGAGTACAAATTCCCACCTCCAAATGTGCACATGCCTCACTCATCCTCCTATCAAATTTTGTAATATTTAAATGCTTTTGTTTCATGCTCTCAAATTTAATGTGATATAAATTTATTAATGAACTGGACTTCTAATCCTGGTTTCAGCTTTTCTAAATTGATGGAACATATTTATTTTAAAAGTTGATATGAAAATATAATGATGCAAAGCATGTGGTAATTTGATGAATAACAGATGGTTTAAAAGTGTTAAAAGCAAGCTTTGGGAAATATATTTTGGGATTTAAACTGCAACTGACTAATGGTGTTAATAGTGAGAAATAGTCAGTTTTTGTTGCTACCTGATATGTTATGCCATCTAATTTTGTCATGTATCTGAAACGGTATTTCACATTTAATCAGTGAGAATATGTGTTTGAGAGTGTGCTTTTGTGTACACTGCATTATTATAGCTATAAAGTTCCTATATATACTGTCTTAGTCAGGTCAGGGTGCCAGAACAAAATACCACAGACTAGGTAGCTTAAAGTAATAGACATTTATTTGTCTCATAGTTCTGGAGACTAGAATCCTGAAATCATGATGCCATAATGCCCTGGTGAGCACTGTCTTCCTGACTCTAGCTGGCTGTCCTCACACAGAAAAAATTGTGCAGGTACTAATCTTAAAATAAGGCCCCACAGTCATGGTATCACCTAAATGTAAATACCTCCTAGAGGTCCCACCTCCAAACAAATTTCAATTAAGAGTTAGGGTTGCATTGGCAGGGGTCATGGTATGAAAGTATATATTTGTAGAGGTTTGCACCTGAAACTCCCAGGGCAGATACAAAGATATAAACCTATCTTACCTTAATAAGCAGTATTTGGGGAAATATTTAAAAAAAGGAGTTAGGGTTATAACATGAATTTTAGGAGAACACAGTACCGTTTTGTGTGTGTGTGTGTGTGTGTGTATGTTATCCATCACTAGGAAATGAATAATTTATTGAAAAAGGCATGAAATTAAATTTACTATATTTCATGGTTGGAGATAAGTGGAAGTTTTATTATGTTTTCCTAGAAAAGTGGAATAATTTTCTTTAATGATTTTATCTTCATTAATTAACATTAATGTTATTGTATTAGTATGTTAAGATCCATAGAAGATAATTTCTCACAGACATTTGGAGATGGTTCACTATATACTGCATGTTTATATTTACTGCTTATTCTGACTGGGTATAGTTATTGCACTTCACGGCCCCATTGCCAAAGGTGTAAGCAAAGAACTGTGTGAAAAGAAAATAGTCGAAACACACAGTATTGAGAACACTTATTGAAGAGACAATTAACTGTGCCTGAACATGAGCATCATATTCTTTTTTTTTTTTTTAAGATTTATTTATTTATTTATTTATACAAGCACTGGGTACAGTCAGAAGCGCAGGAGGGTGACATAATTCACCAGAGCCAGAGAGGGGAACAGAACAGGCAGACTGATGAAATACACTGCTGAGGGGAGCAGCGGACATGCAGGAGAGGTCTGCGTGCCATAGGGGACCCTCACAGGTGGCCAGGGATTGAACTGGCCCTGCAGTGGCTGCAGGCAGCTTCACAGCCCAGCGGTCAATTGCTGTGCCACCAGGAGAGGCCCATGAACATCGTATTCTTGAGCCGTATCTTGAAAGAGCAGAAGAGTTTAGAAATTCTACATATGGGAGGATGTACCACTCCAAAGAATCAGCATATGCAGAAGTAAAGGACTTGGAAGATTTACTGAATTCTAGAATATTTTATTAGCTCAATATATCTAAACACAAATTGAAACTTAAAGAATGATGCTCAATCTCAAGAAAAATGAGGAAATTACATAATAGAACACTTATATTCTAGAATTTGCATTTTGTTTCTCTCATAACTTCTAAGAACTACCTAAATATTTTAAGCTAAAACAGGTAGTGAGACAGAACAGGAGGAAATAGGTGATGCAGCTGGTAACATTGACTACACTAAACCAGTGTTTTCCTTTCACAGAAACTTTCATAGAAAATTGTTCCTTTCATAGCAGTCTTTCTTTATAATTGTCAAGCTTGAATTTAAATGATGTAATATAATTACCAGAAATTCCTACATAACACATATGTAAACCATTGATATGTAAGCTACAATTAAAACAGGAAGAATTCTTGATCAATCTCTTTTAAAGCCTTTTCTTCCTCATGTCCTTTATTATTGATTCTTTTTGTTATTGGCATGGTAACCCCTGGATTCTAATCCTTTGCAACGGAATATACAGTTTTTTGCTTTTTGGAAATTTCCATTAACATGTTAAGTTTTCTCTTTCAAGAACCAAGATGGACCTATCACATTTGTATTTCTCACTAAATTTATCCATACCAGATGTTCACAAACAGAAATGTGCATGCTATTTAGATGGATACAAAATTCCAGCACAGTTTCACTGTAACAAAACGATCAACTTCATTCTCCAAAACTTCTCTATGCATATCTAGTCATTCTTTGGAAGTGAAAAGAAAAAGGTGGTGCAGTATGCAATATTTCTCTTTAAATAAACACAAGAAATGGAGTCCCTTTTCTTTGAGCCTTCATTTGGAGCTCACTTCCTTATGAATAGATTAATCCTCCAGCCTCTAACTATAGCATTGTTCTTAACTCTTTTAGCTAAAATATTGTGGCATTATGGCCAAGGTTATAGATCTCAATGGGGCTCTGCTCACTTAGCTTTCTTTTTTTTAATTGTCTTTGTTTAATCACTTTTTAAAAATTAAAAAAAAATGTTTTGTTCAATGAATAATTTACCAATCCCTAACTTGTCTGCATGGAACTACTAACTGCAAATAGATTCTATTAATAAGACTGTTAATTTAGAGAAGAAAAAGAAGGCCAATTATTTGGAGCTAAAATTAAGAGCAAAAAATAAATAAATAAATAAAATTAAGAGCAGTCACATGAGAACATGTGGAAGAATTTTTGACCTTTCAGAAAAAAGAACATTTCTAACAATTGCAAATAGTGCCCTTGACTATCCCAATTCATTTGTTATTATGACACAGAAAGGTAATTTAATATCTTGTTGCATTCATGTAAGAATTAATAGTATTGACATAATGGACTCAGTAATACATGAGTACTGAGCAAGACTGTTTAATTTTCTTTCAGAAATACATAATTGATTGATAGAAAAAGTATTTTATAGAATTTAAAATATTTAAAATGTGCCCTACTGATACCTAGTTTATAGAGATGACAAAAGAATGATCATTATCTTTTCTAAAATGATGATATTACAAACAGCAGCCAGCAAATAAAAATATTATTATAAATACTAATACATACTAAAGAAAAACCTACTGCTATGTCAACTATGTTTTTAATGACAAATAAATACTAGGTTATCTGAACAGTGTAAAAGTAGCAATATAATGAAAAGTCCTTTCAAACATTTAACTACACTATGCCTCTGTTTCATTTTTATTTTAAGAGCTGCCTTTCTGCTAATGGTCCTTTGAAAAATAAATAACAAAGCCTGTAAAATTATTTAAGGATTTTACAAAGACCACACTATATTAAATAAAATAATTTACCTTGGCATGGTAACAGACATATCTTACATTATTGTCTTAGAATTTATAATATTGGGATATTTTATATATGTTAGGAAAGATTTGATTATGTTTTTCATCAAATCCTGTGAGCTGAAGTTGTTTCCTGATGTAATGGCTTTCAAGTAATATTTAAGTACAGGAGGAATATTATAAGAAAGCAATTTTCCCCATACCGATATATGTTTACTTTGAGACCTACCTGGTGGCCTAGGGGTTAAGTCTCAACACTATCACCACTATGGCCTGAGTTCAATTTAGATACAGGCATGCAACAAGATACCTTTCTGTGTCAGAATAACAGATGAACTGGGATAGCCAAGGACAGTGTTTCCAATTGTTCCCAGTCAGGGAGCTAACCCACATGGCTCAGGAGACCTCTCCTGTCTCACCTGCTACTCCCCTTAGCAGTGTATTTCATCAAATCTGCCTGTTCTGCTCCCCACTCTCTTTCTGGTGAATACTCTCACCCCATACACCTCTGGCCAACATCCCAGTTCCAGGCAAAAATAAATAAAATTTAAAATATAATAATGGCCAGATTTATAGTTAAGTATACACTTGATTATTTTTGGACCATAGGACATATATAATGCTTGAAACAGACTCAATTTGATCATCTCATGACCTCTTTAAGCCCATCTTTCATTGAATCATGTAAAATCAAGATATCATGTGCTTTAGCTATTTGTTATTAGATAAACATCTGCATTAGAGAAAACATTGAATTCTCCTTAAAGAATTTGTATAACATTTTGAGATTTGTATAACATTTCAGACTGCATAGTAATCCTTTCTATAATTGTAAGATAGCTTTCATATTATTTAGAAGCATACACAAAAAACAAAACTTTCAGAAATTAAAAAATCTCTACCTGGTGCATGATTCCAATTTTCATGGTCTTTCAATTTCTCTTTTTACAGACAAGGAAATATCAATAATTGTGTAGGGTATTAGAGTTTTATCTCCAAAATTATTAATCTTTATGCTTTCTCTCCTCCTTTTGCTTGAAAAAATTATCTAAAACTGTTATTGGTTTTCATTTATCCATCATTGTTGAAACACCCCCTTCTCTTTCTCAAAAGTATCCCCAGCTAGCTACCTTCAGTTTTTGTCCTGAAATAAGTCTAAGTGTCCATCCCAACCTCACATAAATAATTATACTTTCTGAATTATTACATTCAGGTGATTAAGGAGTTTTTCTCTATCCACATGCAATATCATATTTAAATTTAATCCGTTTTCCGCAATTTGATTTTCATTGGAAATAGCAAAAAATAGTTAATCGCACATATAAAAAATTATGTTGTCAATGTAAAT